CCTGGAGGAGAGAAAGATGGGCCTGAGGATGAAGAGGAGGAGGAGTTTGATGAGCTCACCCAAGATGAAGAAGATGAACTGTCATCAGCTTCTGAGGAGTCTGTGCTTTCTGTCCCAGAGCTCCAGGTAAGAACCAGAATAGTTGTGAGTATATAGGGTTACTAAACTGTTAATTTATATGTTACAGTCATGAAGCGTTATATGACTTCTGAATGCATTATGGAACATAATTCAGAGGCTTGTGTCATGTGCCTTGGAATGGAACATTCTCTTTGGGTTAAGCTATTTGATTTGTTAATTTGAGTCATTCAAGCATATTTTTTGTCATTTTTTTTTTCCTTTCATTTTGACAGTTATTTTATTTGTGTGGGTGTGTGCATGAGGTTTTATGTGTGTAGAGGTCAGAGGAACAGGAGGAGGTGGTTATCTCCTTCCATCTCCTTCCATCATGTGGCTTCCAGGAAGTGAGATAGATTGTCAAGCTTGACAACAGTTGTCTCTACCTATTGACCCATCTCACTGACTCCTTGAGCAAACTTTAAATGCCAAACAAACAAGGAGGCTACAGGTAAAATGATACTGTTTGCCATCCTTAATGGCCTGTGTGCATACCATTATCACATAGTATAAGGAGAGAACTGATTGCTATAGTTTATCCTCCGGTCCCTCCCATGGTTGCCTCGGTGTGTATGTATTCCAGTGAATGCCCACAGGGATAAATAGGCTTAAAAATATTAACCTTTGAAGGGGGGTAGATGGCTCCACTGTTAACAGTTTTTGTGCCTGGCAGTGGTAGGAGAAGTCTTTAATCTCAGCACTTGGGTGTTCAAGGCCAGCCTGGTCTACAGAGTGAGTTACAGTACAGCCAGGTCTACACAAGAGAAACTCCTTCTCACAAACAAAATAAAACAAAAAAAGAAAACCCCAAAACAAAATAAACCACAAAACAAATAATTGTAACAAGAGAATACTCGGTGCTCCTTAGAGGGCCTAGGTTTGAGTCCCAGCACCCACATGCTGTGCATAATCCACAGAAGCTCCAGTTCCATTCTTTCTGGTGCCCTCTTCAGACCTTTGTAGGCATGTAGCAGACAAATTTACCTACAGACAAAACACTTACAATGTAATGAGCCAAAAAAAAAAATTAGATCATTTCTGTTCTGTCTTTAATCCTAGCACTTGGGAGGCAGAAATAGGTGGATATCTGTGAATTTCAGGCCAGTCTGATCTACAGAGCTATTTCTAGGATGTTCAATGCTACACAAAGAAACCCCATCTCAAAAAACAAAATTTAACATACTCTTAAGAAATAGAGGAATAGGCATGTAATAGCACATGTAGCTGACATGTGTAAGGCCTTGTTTCAATCCCCAACCCTGCAGAAAAGAAGCAAAGAACAGTGACAACCGAAAAAAAACAACAAACGAGGAAGAAGGAGGAGGAGGCAGAGGAGGAGCAAGAAGATAGAAGAGTTAAAAAAGCTTCTATGTGTGGGTCATGGCAGAGGAAAGCCGTCTTCAGGAAGTGGGGCAGCCTTCCATAGGCATGTCTGCCCGGGCCTGTCCTCAGTACCCTCAGGCTTCACCAATTCAGAGTGGTGGCCCTGCTTCACCTTAGATCCTCCTGACACTGCTCCTGTACTTGGGCCTTCTGTGAGCTGCTAGGAGCCCTTAGAAACATTCTTTGGGGTGCTTTTAGGAAACAATGGAGAAACTGACTTGGCTGGCATCTGAAAGGAGCATGAGTCAGGAGGGTGAGTCTGAGGAAGAGAACTCCCAGGAGGAGAACTCTGAGCCAGAAGAAGAAGAGGAAGAGGAGGCAGAAGGGATGGAAGCCTTGCAGAAAGAGGGTGACGTGAATGATGAAGCAGTTGGAGATGCTGCTGAGAAGCAGCCTTCTACCTTGGCCTCACCCAAGACTGCTCCACAAGTGGAGACCAGCGTAACCCCAGCAGGTGAGTGTAGCTGACCCCTCGGAGGACAGGTTCCCCTTAGCTGCATTCTCCAGAGGACTGAGTGCACAGTGTGCAGCTCACAGAGTAGCCCGAACCTCCAGGGAGGAGTCTTTCTTTCTCCTGCAGCAGCTTTCTTGCCCCAAACAGACTAGGGCAGTGCCTTTGAAAAACAAAAGACACAAGTCAGAGTCTCATCAACAGTTCATTTACAGGAAGTTCCTGTGTTTTATTTGTGGTTCTTGCCTCTTGTGTGCTTGAGGCTATGAGCTGTTGGGCAGCTGTGTGACTGACTTTCCCATCTATCTCTCCCCTTAGATCTCTTAGGCCCCATCCTACCGCCCCTTCCCTGCACACTCTTTCTCCTCACCTGGATGTTCCTTTTGATGATGTCCCTGGTCAGCTGAACCTTGCCTGTGCTGGGGTCCACTCCAGCCAGTGGCACCATGACCTCCCCGATGACATCATCCCGAGAGAAGCGATCAAAGCTGAGCACGAGGAAATGTAGCACCAGGTCCTGCAGCTGGCTGTATGGAATTCCGTAGAAGGTGAAGGTCTCATCAAATACAGGGTCCAGGGTCTTGCGAAGCACTCGGGTCTTCACTCGGTGCCTCTTGTCTGGAAGGATCGTCATCTTGATGTAGGGGTCAGAGCCCTGGGTTTGGTCATCCATCACTGGCAGCCCGTGGGCCTCTTGGATTGTCACCACCAGAGCTTTTTTGGGAAAGTTATAGTCCACCGAGAAGGTAAGGGATCCGAGCATCACCTCTTCCTCTGGTGATGATGGGGAGGTGGCTTTGCTCTCACCAGGGGTCAGGCTTGTCATGGGACTCCTCAGTTCTTCCCCATAGTCTCTTTTGATGGGTAACTGGTCTATACAAGATGCAGAGCTAGGCCCTCTGGGGTCCTTTTCTTGGCTCAGCAGGCCAGACTCTGCCGCATTTACTAACAGGTTCCCTCGTGCACTCTCCCTCCGGAGACCATCTTTGTCTCTCCGGACTTTGATGATTTTCTTCTTGTTGCTGAGGGTCTCTGGGTAGATGCTAATGCCTTTCAGCATGTGAATAAACTTGTATGGCGGGGTCTTGTGCTTCTTCTCTGCCTGCTGGTGGCAGCATGTCCACACAAAGACAGTCACAGAAACACACACCACCAGCACAGAGGCCCCGATGAGGCCAGCCGCCACTGGTGACACATCTGAAGGCAGAGACCAGAGTTGTGTCAAAACAGCACTTCTGCTCCTGGCAAGAGAGCGCCCCTCGTGGGGCCCAACTAACCCTCAATCCAGCCTCCACAGTGCAAGCCCATCTGGGCTTTGGAGCTTTATCTGCTCACTGCCCAGGAGGTGACCAGTACCCTTGCCTTCCTGCTTGCTAAAGCCAGGGAACACTTTTGCTTAGCTGCTGTTGCTGCTGTTGTTTGAGGCAGGGTTTTACTGGCTGTGCTGCCGCTTGCCATATAGACCAAGCTGGCCTTGATCTCACAGAGATCTGTCTGCCTCAGCCTCCCAAATGCTGGGATTAAAGACATGGCTCATTTAGCTTCTTTATCTACCTATGTAGTGCCTCATCTGAGTTCTTAAAAATATACTATTATTGTACATGTATGGGTGTTTTGTCTGCATATATGTGTGTGCAGCACACACATCAGAGCCTGATGTCCATGGAGGGCAGGTGTCTGATAACTGGAGTTACAGATGGTTGTGAACCACCATGTGGATAGTGGGAATTGAACCCAGGTCCTATGGAAGAGCAGCCATTGCTCTTAACCAGCGATCCATCTTGACAGTCCCTGATTCTTTTTTAAAACCTTCAAAACACTTGCAGGTTTGATTGTTCAATTGTTTAATTTGTGCTTCCCAGAAAGCCATGCCCTGAATATTTGAAGGTTGCCTTTTGTGTAGGACTCTGTTTACTTCAACCATTACATAGAGTATGAGCTGTGTGCTTGATTTAATGAGGGTGTTCCAGTACTCCAATACAGACAGTCAACAGTGGGGCTGTCTTGCTAACTTCCACCAGAGAACACATGGTGGAAGATGAATGACTCCTCCCACAAGCCTTCTGACCTCTACATACTTACCATGTGTGTGTCTCACCCAATGGAATGAATAAATAAATAAATAAACATCAAAAATGGAAAAGAGAAAGAAGGAAGGAAAAGTCTGGGTCTGCAGATGAACACTTCTTAACTTGTTACAAAGTCTCTGGTCCTAGGTCCTTAAAATATAAGTGTCTGTTATATATGGAGTCATTTTTATTTTCTTAGTATTTTAAATAGGAAGAAAATGTCAAATGAATTTTCTTTCTTTTTGTTTCCATTTTTTTCTATTTCTATTTTAGAAGGAAAGTCGATGTATTCAAGAAGGCCGGATGTGACATTTGTGGCTAGTACCACACACAGAATGCAGCAGCCAGTGATGCTTCATATTCGGCCACACCCAGAATTGCCAGAGCTATTAAACTCACACCATTGCTGAGGGTTTACTGTGGCCAGAGTTAGCCAAAGATATTTTTGAATTATGATTGGAGAAAAATTTATTACCTAATTGTGTTATGACTGTATAAAAATTTATTACCCAATTGAGTGAAATTTTCTTATCTAACGATAATGTCCCCAAACAAATAGATGATATGTCTGCTGTCATTCTTTATTAGGTAACTAGGAAATGAAATCTGATCCATTTCCAATATTTAGTATCCATCTTTAGTAATCTAGTAACCAGTAGCAACTGGTCAGTTACTGGTTTACGTGAGGAATATTAATGATAATGACTTTAAAGTTGAGTTTCTTTTCTTTGCACCTCTAGAAACAACTGCTGTGATTGATGTATTTGAGAGAACATAAGATCTCTTGGGGAAAGGTTTGTGATTTTTACACAGATGGTGCTCCAGCTATCCTTTTATGTCCATTTGGATTTCAACTTTTTGTACTGAATAAGTCACCAAAAGTCATCAGAAGCCACCATATGATTCAACAGCAAATATTAGCAGTGAAAGATGTTGTCATAAGAGTTATAAGAAATGGGCTGGAGATATGGCTCAGAGGTTAAGAACACCGACTGCTCTTCCAGAGGTCCTGAGTTCAATTCCCAGCAACCACATGGTGGCTCACAACCATCCATTATGAGATCTGGTGCCCTCTTCTGGTGTGCAGATATATATGGAAGCAGAATGTTGTATACATAATAGATAAATAAAATCTTTAAAAAAAAAAAAAAAGAGTTATAAGAAATGCCAAGTGGTGGTGTTGTATGCCTTTAATCCCAGTTTTCAGGAGGCAGAGGCTGGCAGATCTCTGTGAGCTCTAGGACAGCCTGTTCCACAAGGTGAGTTCTGGTACAGCCAGGGCTGTTATACAGAGAAATCTGGTCTTGAACCCCCAAGCTCCCAAAAAAGAGTTGCTAGAAGTAATAAAAAGTGTTATAAATTGTTAATTTTGTAAAGGCAATCACTTTAAACAGTGACTGTTTTCACAACTGTGTTGTAATAAGTTGGTTGCAATGACCAAAGCTCTGCAATTTCTCACTGAAGTCAGATGGTTTTTTGAGTGGAAAGGTTTTAAAATGTGGTGGTTTTCATTTTTTGGTTTGTTTTGTTTTTCCCAGAGACAAGGTTTCTCCGTGTAGTACTGGCTGTCCTAGAACTCACATTTTAGACAAGGCTAGCTTCAAACTCACAAGAGACTCACCAGTCTCTGGTTTCCTGAGCACTGGGATTAAAGGTGTGTGACACAACTGCCCAGCTAAAATGTGTTTTGGAGCTTCATGAAGAGCTCAAAACTTTTTTAAACCAGAAAGCAAGACCACAGTTTGAAGCACTTTTCAGTAATAAAAGTGAAAACAGAAAATAGCTTAATTGGTTACCATCTTTGCTATCTTGAATGAGTTAAATTTATCGATACAAGGTCCAATGCAACATGCCTTAATTTTTCTAAAAAGTTCATATTCCAAATGAAACCTCAACTTTAGCGAAAAGAAAAAAAAAGTGGAGGATGAAAACAAATTTATATGTTGTCTATTTTATCTGATGTCTTTGAGGAACATGATACTGAACTAGAAAAAGGATTACAATAAAAATTTTTGTGAAAGAACATGTGCACCTGCTTGTAGACAAAGTTTCATTGTATTTCCCATATCTTTCTGAAACTCCATTTATATTTGCCAGTAAACCCATTCACACACAACGCTGAAAATGTTCCTGCCACAGCACAAGAGGAATTCATTGACAACAATAACACACAACGCTGAAAATGTTCCTGCCACAGCACAAGAGGAATTCATTGAATTTAGGAACAATGATGCAGTGAGAACTGAGTTCTATACATTCCAGTTATCAAATTCTGGATCATGGATTTGCAGTTATAATGTGTTCTGTCTGAGACTGTTGGAACTGTGTTCCAACTTGCTGGTTATCAAGTCTAAATAAGATCACCTCTGGAAGTGATCTTTGTGCTCCTGCAAAGACTGCCCCGAGAATTTCAGAAGGAAGCAACTCAACCTTTTCAGTGAAGGTGTCTTTGTATTCATACTGTTGCAAGAAGTACCAATATATGGGCTGAAGAGATGGTTCACTGGTTTAGAACACTAGCTGGTCTTCCAGAGGTCCTGAGTTTTCCCAGCAACTACATGGTGGCTCACAACCATCTGTAATGAGATCTGGTACCCCCTTCTGGCCTGCAGGCAAAACATGCTGACAAAACACTATATATAATAAATCTTTTTAAAAAAAGGTACAAATGTAGTTTATTATTGTTAGTATAAGACTTGTTACCAATGCTACACCATAAATCAAGAAAATAATATATTTATTTGGAATCAGCAACAAATATAATTGTGTATTTTTGTGACTAATCACTGCTTTAATTATGCTGAATTTATACGCCTGGATATACATCCTGCATATGATGTATTTGTATTGCCATTCAGAATGAGTACCAAAATTATAGTTATAAGATAGCATCAAATAATTTTATGATTGGGGGTCACTACAACATGAGGAACTATATTCAGGGTCACAGCATTAGACAGGTAGAGAACTATTAATGGAAAAACACGACTGGGCAATGGTGGCACACCCTTTAACCCCAGTACTCTGCAAGCAAAGACAGTTGGTTCTCTGAGTTCCCAGTTAGTCTGGTCTAGAGAGGGTTTCAGGACAGTCATGGCTATATAGAGAGAGACCCTGTCTGGAAAAATAAAAGTAAAAATAAAGTAAAACCACAACCTTTCCCTTCCTCAATACCCACTCTTAACCAAGTCTATCTTCATGGACCATACCATTCTCTTTCCTCTCAGACCCATGTGCTTGTGTAAAAGAACTATATATAAGGCAGGCATCATGGCAAGAGAATTTAATCCCAGCACTGAGGAGGCAGAGACAGATGGAGCTCAGTTGATAGAATGCTTGCCTGCATTGCTGGAGTTTGCTGGTGGTATCTGTGTTTCTAGCAGTCCTATGGGAAGATAGCTATCTCCAGATGCTCATGGGTCTGCTAGCCTGCCATACACAGTAGAAAAATAAGAAAGGAGTGCAGGTAGTGTACTCCTTTAATACCAGCATTCCAGAGGCAGAGTCAGGAGGATCTCTGTGAATTTGAAGTCATCCTGGTCTCCAGAGTGAGTTCCAGGTCAGCCATAATTAGAGAGATAATGTCTCAAAAACAAAAAAGTAAATAAAAACAAAAAACCAGAACACAAGACAGAAAGAGAGAAAAAAGGAAGAAAACATGAATAGCCAGATACGATGGTGAACACCTTGAAACACTCAAGAGGCAAAGGCAGATGACTGAGGTTGAGGCCAGCCTAGTCTACTTTGCCTAGTTAAGGACAGCTGGAGCTACCTGTTGAGGACTTGTCTCAAAAAACAAATATAACAAGACCCTCTTTCACACAAGTGGAAGGGTAAGGACTGACACCTGAGGTGGTCCCCATTTTGCAACCCACAGAGTGATTGAATGATTCAACCAATAAAGTGTAAATTATAGTGATACCAATTGATTACTTTTTGTATTTCAAGGTCATGGATCATTCAGTGTTGGCCTGGTATGCCCTCTGTCATGTGGCAGTGTTTAAAGTACTTTGTAACAAATGTGGTCTGGACAATCTGGGGCCACTGGTAGTGGATCACTATTTACCCCTAGTACACGAATGGACTTTGTATCCACATAGAGGGGTTTTTCCAGACAGGGATTCTCTGTAGGTTTGTAGGTTTCCTGGAATTTGCTCAGCAAACCAGGCTGGCATCCACATCACAGAGATCTGCCTGTCTCAGCTTCCCCAGTGCTGTGATTAAAGGGGTGCACCACAACCACTCAACTTGTTTTATTTTATTAAGGCAAGGTTTCCCTCTCTAGCCCAGCCTGGCTGGAACTCAATATATGTCCCAGGCTTACTTTGAACTCAAAATTCTACCCCAGTTTCTCAAGTGCTGGGAAAAAGTGCCTAGAGCCACCATTCCTGGATGCTTTGTTTCTAGAGACCAGTGTCATTAGATTGCCCTGTCTGGCTTAGAAGTCGGAAGTGGTGCTAAGCTGGCTTTGAACTGGGTCTCCTAGGCTGGGCACGCATACATCACCACGTCAGTGTTGGATTTGTTTTTTGCTTTTCAGGGCTGGTGGTCCTGCCAAGAACCTTTGCACCACTCAGGTGTACATTCTTCCTCTGAGCTACTCCTTCAGTCTCACACCTCATTACTGACTCTTCTTTGGCGAAACACAGCCTCTCACTGTCACTAAGGCCAGTGTCCTACAGCAGAATCAGAATGACTAGGGCAGCAGTCAGGCATTGGTTCAAACCCTAGTGCTACCATGACTAGTTCATTTGGACTTCATTGTATTCCAAGGTTCATTCTCCTGGTCTGGAGAGTGCACATAATCATACCTACACTGGAAGACATGCTAAGATTACAGACAGCACAGTATATAAGAGCGAGTAATGCCGCCCCCACAGGCAACAGCACCGGTGAGTTCCCTTTTTCGAAAAACCAGACCAGGGAAACAGGGAACAAAGGCCCCGGAAGGGGCGCCTAGGCACTGCCAGGAGTCTCAGAAATAGACATCACGCCATCTCTCCGCCCGGCAGCGCCAAACGCCTTTTGGTAACACCGGCAAGGACCCCACCATTACGGTGCAGAACGAAGCTTGCAGGGCTAGCATTTTACCCCAGCCCTAGCAACCCTCTGACCGGCCTAAGGAGTGGCTTCCCTTTTGCTCCCCACCCCCGCACCCTTCTTTCCTGGAGGCCTCTGCCTCCCTTGACTGCCAGCCACACAGCCCATAGTCTCCACGCTGCCATCTTGAGGCCCCGTCCCCCTTGCCGCTTCCCTCTCCTGCAGCCCTCAGAAGTAGGAGGGGGA